CCTATATTATTATTATACCATGCCTTTCAAACATAATTATCACTTTTTTTCCTGTGCCTTTTTTTCATTGGGAGTGTCACTTCATCTTGTAGAACATATGTATTATCCTTACAACAGTCAAAAAGTATCAGTTTGCCTTACAGGCCCCTCCGCCAGTGCAAATCCTTGTTATCATTGCAGGATTCCCCTGGACATTCCATGGAATGTATTGTATGAAAGCATCATCCAGCATCCCTAGCTGTGAGATGGGGAGAGAGTAGAAAGCACAGGCTGTGGGAGAGAGGAGTAAGACAAGAGCCTGTGAACTAGAGGGAGGCGCAAAGCTCAGCTGAGGAGTCAGGATTTAATTCAATGCATCATTAAGTAGTCCTCTGTATGCACTGTCCCCGATATATCATCCATGCTCAGTAAACAGCCGCCTGACACTGCATTAGCCTGGAAATGAATTCTCACTTTTATAGGGAAATTGCAAATCCGCCAAGAAAAAAAAAAAAACAGAGAGAGTGAGAAAGAAAAGGGAGGAGGGATAGGGAAATAGAAAGAGTGGAGAGATGAGATGGAGCCATATCAGTGAGGGAGATATAAGGAGAAAGAGGGATGGGAACAGAATTGAGAGCAGGAGATGGAGGGCAGAAAAATGGAAAGGGAGAGAGAAAAACTAATACAGAGAGGGAGCTGGCAAGAGAGGGAGAGAAATGAAAAGAACAAGAGGCAGGGAGAGAGGGGAAAAAGGGGAAGGCAATTATCGAAATCATTAGGCGTGGAGTTTCTCCTCTGTGCTCCATAACGCTTAATGTTTAACTCCTTCATAGCCTTCAAAAGGCTTCTAAAATGCTGTGTACAAAGAGTTGTTTCACCTCAGACTAACATACACACGAATAAAGTATAAACACATACACACATATTCACACACACACATACAAACACATACGATGTAAATTTTTTTTTCCCTTTCAAATGCTTGCCCTGAAGATCTGATATTAGGAATAGGTTATTGTAACCAGGGCCGGCCTTAGGCAATTAGGCGCCCTGTGCAAAAAGTCTTCACGGCGCCCCCCCCACCTCCCACCAAGTTGCCTGAATACAGTAACACACACAGGCACCGGTGACGTGTGTATCACGAGGCAAACAAGGCATCTGCCTTGGGCGCCACTTTGCAGGGGGCGGCAAAAAAAAGCATCCCTCCAAACCCCCAGGCAGATCCCTTGCTTGCCTCGCATCCTGGGGGGCTCAAGAGCTGACCGGCTGGCCACTTTTGAGCCCCCCAAGGCTGGCAGCGGGCAGCGAAGGAGCATACTCACCTGAGCTCTTCCTGCTCAGCTTCCTCTGCGCCGCTTAATGAAGCCGGGAGCCAGAATATGACGTCAGTCCGGCTCCCGGCATCACTAAGCGCTGCTTACTCAGCCTGTGCGCCCCCTGCCTGCCTGCCCAGCAGCCACACTGGACTGCTGGTAAGAAATCCACTCCAGCTTTCCCAGGGAGGCTGGGTGGATTTAAAATAAATGTAAAAAATATTAGTTTGTGAGTGTTAGTGGAAATGTCTGTGTGTGTGTCTGTGAGTGTTTATTTTGAAGTGAATGTGTGTGTGTGTGTGTGTGTGTGTCTGTAAGTGTGTAATTGTGTGTGTCTGTAAGTGTGTAATTGTGTGTGTCTGTAAGTGAATGTGTGTGTGTCTGTGAGTGAATGTGTGTGTTGGTCAGTGAGTGTATATGTGTCAGTCAGTGAGTGTGTATGTGTCAGTCAGTGAGTGTGTATGTGTCAGTGAGTGTGTATGTGTCAGTGAGTGTGTATGTGTCGTCAGTGAGTGTGCGTCTGTCAGTGAGTGAGCGTCTGTCAGTCAAAGTGCGGCCTTGACAGGAAGGGGTGGGGGAAATTTAAACTCGGTTACAGGCATGTACACACACACTCAGTTAAAGGCAGTCACACATACAGGCACAGGCACAAACAATGGCACAGCTACAGCGACACACACAGACAGACAGTCACATAGGCAGTCACACACACAGACAGACACACAGTAACACACACATAGACAGTTATACACACACAGGCAGGCAGTCACACAGATAGAAAGTCACACACACAGGCAGGCAGTCACACACAGACAGATAGTTACAGACAGAACACACAGCAGGCAGGCAGGCAGTCACATACAGGCAGTCACACACACAGGCAGTCACACACACAGACAGACAGTCACACACACAGACAGTCACACAGACAGACAGTCTCACACACACAGGCAGTCACACACACGGTCACACAGACAGACAGTCACACACACAGGCAGTCACATACATGGGCAGTCACACAGACAGACAGTCACACACACAGTCACACACAGGCAGGCAGTCACACACAGAGACAGTCACACACACACACAGAGACAGACAGTCACACACACACACACACACAAGGACAGGCAGTCACACACAGACAGACAGTCACACAAACAGGCAAACAGTCACACACACACACTTACCTCTTTCCAGTGGATGCAGTTGGCTGATGGGGAAGCATCTTTCCCTCTTCCTGTACAGCAGGGGCTTCGGGAGGTATTAGCCCCGTCTCCGCCTCTCGATAAGCCCCGCCTCCGCCGCTCGGTAAACCCCGCCCCCTCTGCCGCGATTTTTTTTTTTAAATAGACCTTTTAGCTCCCCTGCACTCCGGCCATGAGTGAGCTGTGTCGGCCACAGGGCGCCCCCTGTTCCATGGCGCCCTGTGCGGTCGCACAGCTCGCACACCCCTAAGGCCGGCCCTGATTGTAACATTGCTTGTTGCTACCATTAACTTCCTTTGGGACAATTTTATAGAAATGTTATAGTTAACCAAATCAGTGCCAGAAGGGGAGTGATTTCCATGCTTGTTTAGATGCTAATATTGTTTTTGTAGCGTCACTGTTAATCTGAACGTTTATACTGGTGGAGATTAGCCAGGGTTGTATGGTTTAATGATCTGGTTCTTCAGATTTTAAACAGTTCCTTGGTGACTTATTAGGTTGATCTTAACTTCTCCTTGTTACTCCTGACTGCAACAATGTTTTCTTAGCACCCACTCCATTTCAAATGAAAGGATTAATAAATGGTAATTGGAAGCGACCTAAAGGGTTCTGGTAAAATTATAAAATCTGCAGGATGACTGACAGATGGATTTCAACATATAGAAATATGGAAACTGGAGTTTTATAAAACAAATCTACTTAAAGATGCATTTTTTAATTTTTAAATCCACCTTACACGCTGACTATATTAATAATATGTTTGAAGGCACACTATAGTCACCAAAACAACTTTATCTTAATAAAGCAGTTTTTGTGTATAGATAATGCCCCTTCAGTCTCACTGTTCAATTCACTGCCATTTAAGAGTTAAATCATTTTATTTATGCAGCCCTTGCCACACCTCCCTGCATGTGACTTACACTGCCTCCCTAAACACTTCCTGTAAAGTGAGAGCTAATGTTTAAACTTCTTTTATTGCACCCTAATTTTTAAATCCACCTTACACGCTGACTATATTAATAAAATGTTTGAAGGCACACTATAGTCACCAAAACAACTTTATCTTAATAAAGCAGTTTTTGTGTATAGATAATGCCCCTTCAGTCTCACTGTTCAATTCACTGCCATTTAAGAGTTAAATCATTTTATTTATGCAGCCCTTGCCACACCTCCCTGCATGTGACTTACACTGCCTCCCTAAACACTTCCTGTAAAGTGAGAGCTAATGTTTAACCCCTTAAGGACGGAGGGCGTACTATTACGCCCTGCAGGAGCCGGCTCTAAACGCCGGCGGGCGTAATAGTACGCCCTCACTTTAATGGCCGCCCGTGTGGCCGGCGCTATTCGCCCGCTGCAGATCGCGGTCGGGGGGGATGCCCGGCCCCCCAGGCAACCCCCCCTGTGGCCGGTGACCGCGATCTGCAGTCACTGATCGCAGTGACAGGCTGTCACTTTGATCAGTTTTTAACGTGTGTCAGCCGATTTCAAATCGGCTGACACACGTGGCCAGCGGCTACCCCATGCAGATCGCGGTCGGGGGACTTACCTGGCCCCCCAGGCAGTCCCCCTGGGGTCAGTGACCGCGATCTGCTAACTCTGAGATCGCAGTGACAGGCTGTCACTGCGATCTCAGAGCGCTCTGATCGCAGTGACAGCCTGTCACTGCGATCAGTGTTACATGTGTCAGCCTATTGGCTGACACATGTAACTGGCACAAAGATCCCCCTGCAGATTGGAAGGGGGGAGTGCTTGTACCACCCAGGCACTCCCCCCTGTGGCCAATTACCCAATCTGCAGGAGGTGATCACAGTGACAGGCAGTCACTGTGATCACTGATCCTGTGTGTCAGCCAGTGATGTAAAATCACTGGCTGACACTGTCTCTGCCCCCTCTCCTGTAAAAAAAATAAAATATTAGTTAAAAAAAAAAATTACAGTTACATATAAAATATACTTAGATCATATATATATTTTTTTTTAAATTCTTTATTTTTATTGTGCACAAGAAAACATAAAAGCCGACAATGCCACAACAGCATAGTACAAGCCCATTAAAGCAAGATTATTCACATATATGGCATAGGGTTATTGGCACATTTTTGTATTTTTGAAGATAAACATACATCGAGTTGTAAGTTACCAAAGTGACAGGTAGTAACATCATTGAATGAAACGTAGTGGGTTTTGTGCGAGTAACTTAATAAAATGCATATTCTAACAGCATGGCTGGTCTGAATAGTGCTACACAGCTAACTGGTCCAAAATAGGCATTGAGGTGGCTTGTTATGCTAAGCCTATTATAATTGAATGGGTATGTGAGGAGTGCAATACTCAGTCGTTTAACTAATGGCTTGTCTAATAACCTAGATTAAACATTAGGGATGGGACACTAATTAACATAGGTGCTTCCAAAGGCTGTTAGTGAGTTTAACGGTATGCTGTACTATAGAACTTAAGATGTAGACATGCTAGTGTTAAATGATGTTTGTATGAACATTATATCACCCTGGCTGGAATAGAGTTCTTGGGTTGGTTTGCGTTCCAGGGCTTTTCGGCTCGGCGGGTCCGTGCGGCCGGGAACGAGTGTTCTCTGGTGCGGGGGTTCGAGCAGCGCCCCTCCGGGAGTGTTGCTGTGTTGCTCGTTGGTACCTTTTGGGCTGCTTCTCCGGCTGGCCATGGGTACCTCTTCTGGACTTCCCGAGGTGAGCGCCTGTCAGGACGGATGTTTGGGCACTGTGTGATACAGTTGGTTGCTGGATGAGACCGCTGTTATGGCCGCCGATGAATGTTGTCGGCCTTGCTGTGGGAGTTCCTTGGTCTGTGGCGAGGTTGGCAGTCTCTGGCGGTGGAAGGTCGGGTGCGGTGTGGGCTGGTTCCGCTGCCCTTGTGGCTTGGGCTAGGCCTCCTCCGCTGTTCGCCTGTGGCGAGTTCCGTGTAGTGGGCTGGTAAGTAGTCGCTTGTGGGGTTGCGGTGTCTAGTGTGAGGAGCTTGAGTTCTTCTGGCCCCTTGGGCTCTTGTCCAGAGACCCAGTTTGTTGCTCTACTCCCTGCGAGGGCGCACTCTCTCTCCCCGGCCCCAGCGCACATGGCATCCGCCATCTTGGATGTCGTGTTCAGGCCTTTGAGCGGGATGGTAGTACCTCTGGACCCTGGATGTGTAGCCTCTGGGTGAGGACCGGGATCACCCCCGCCGGTCCAGAGGGGGGGGGACAGGGCCGGGACCGCCCGGGTCTTGATCTCCGGCTTCGTACCATTAGGCGGGATAGTGGGGCAGCGGCCGTCTGTCCCTCTCACCGCCGGCGTAGGCCCCAACTTGATCGTTGCGGGCTTCACCTCCTGGGGACTGTAGCTCCGGTAGCCAGCCTCTCCCAGGATCCGGTAACTTCGTGGTTCTGAAGACCCTTGCTGCCGGTCAGTAGTTAGGTAATTTTCCATATTTTTAAGCATATTTGTGGGTGTATTGCAGGAGCTGAACTCATGTGCGACCGTCCAGCTCGGCGGTCCGGCCCCGCCCCCCCTTAGATCATATATATTATATATATATATGATCTAAGTATATATATATATATATATATATATACACACACACACATTTACACATACACGAAGTGTATTTAAATATTAATATATATAATTATTTATATATATATTACTATCAAATTACACGTAGACTAATACTGATTAAATATATATATATAATTATTGTTATATATATATATTTATATATAATATAAAAAAATGTAAATACGTAAAAAAAAAAATTTAAAAAAATAATTAAAAATAAATAATAAAAAAATATATAGATGTTTGTTATTTCGTTCTAACTGTATTGTGATATTATATATATATATATTTATATCAAAATACACGTAGAACGAAATAATATATATATCTATATACATAAATATATACATATATATCACTAAATATATACACCTATATATAAATAAAAATATTTTAAAAAAAATATATATATATATATATGTATATATACACATATGTATATATATACATATATTTATGTAATATTTTTACATAATTAGGTATCCTAATTAATTACAATTAGCGGGACCTGCCTGACAACCCATGCCGAAAGTATAGGGAATTTAATTTGCTAGCACTATATTTAACCCTATAACTTTCCAAGACACCATAAAACCTGTAAATTGGGGGTACTGTTTTACTCGGGAGACTTCGCTGAACACAAATATTAGTGTTTCAAAACAGTAAAATGTATTACAACAATGATATCGCCAGTAAAAGTGAAGTTTTTTGCATTTTTCACGCACAAACAGCACTTACACGGATGATATTATTGCTGCAATACTTTTTACTGTTTTGAAACACAAATATTTGTGTTCAGCGAAGTCTCCCGAGTACAACAGTACCCCTCATGTACAGGTTTTATGGTGTTTTCAAAAGTTACAGCGTCAAATATAAGGCTTGTGTTTAATTTTTTTCACATTAAAATTCGCCAGATTGGTTACGTTGCCTTTGAGACCCTATGGTAGCCCAAGAATGAAAATTACCCCTATGATGGCATACCATTTGCAATAGTAGACAACCCAAGGTATTGCAAACAGGGTATGTCCAGTCTTTTTTAGTAGCCACTTAGTCACAAACACTGGCCAAAATTGGCGTTTTTGCATTTTTCACACAAACAAATACTAACGCTAACTTTGGCCAGTGTTTGTGACCAAATGGCTACTAAAAAAGACTGGACATACCCCATTTGCAATACCTTGGGTTGTCTACTATTGCAAATGGTATGCCATTATGGGTGTAAATTTCATTCCCGGGCTACTATACAGTCTCAAAGGCAACGTAACCAATCTGGCGAATTTCAATTTCAAATGTAACGTGCTATATTTGACCCTGTTACTTCCCAAAACGCCATAAAACCTGTACATAGGGGGTACTGTTTTACACATGAGACTTTGCTGAATACAAATATGTGTATTTTATTGCAGTAAAAGCAAACCGTATTATGACACTGACCGTTAAAATGTCATGTAGAACTAAAAAAATATAAAAAAATCTTATTTTCTCCCATTTTTTTCATATTAAATTATGTTTCATAGCTAAATATTTGATATTAAATGAAAGCCCTGTTTCCCCTGAATAAAATGATATATAATAAGGGTGGGTGCATTTACTATGAAAGAGGTGTATTACGGTTGGACAGACATGTAGCGCAAATGCCAGGTTTTGTTTACATTTTGTTTCGTTCACAACGTGTACATTTGGCTCCGTCCTTAAGGGGTTAAACTTCTTTTATTGCACAGTCTGTTTAACTTATAATTTTGTATCTCCTGCTCTGTTAGACTTTGCTCAAGCTTCCTGTGTGTGATTAAAGTTCATTTTAGAGAGAAGAGATAAAAAAAAAGTTACATCTAATTGAAAATGAAATCATTTTTTTTTTCCATACAGGCTTTGTGAGTAATAGCCAGGGCAGGTATGGCCAGGACTGGATAAACAGAAACAAAAGTGACTCCTACTTGGCAGAGAATTGAGCAGTGAGACTGCAGTCATGATTTGTACACTAAAACTGCTTCATTAAGTTAAAGTTGTTTTGGTGACTATAGTGTCCCTTTAAAGATGGTACAAGTTGTATAGTGATAAATGCAATCGTCTCAGAGATGTTTAAGTATTATGCTAAATAAGTTAGTTCATAGTATTTATATTCAAAGTTACTCATGGTCTTTCATGAATGAAGCTGCTGTGCAAGCTGTATAACCCACACAAATGTATTTATTTATTCATAAAATATTTTACCAGGATGGATACGTTGAGATTTCTCTCGTTTTCAAGTACGGATGTCCAGGGAATCAAGTTAGACTTGGCGCTGTGCACCCATGATGCAAGATATTGAATTGTCACTAAGAAGCATAACACAGAGTTGGTATAGCTGGCACAGAGAGTTTAGCTGGCACAGAGAGATTCTACCTGCAACCATTTTTATGTATTTTTTTTTGCAATAATGAATAAGCTAATAGAAGAAAGGGAGTTCCTTACACCATAACCTGTGCAAGGATCATAGGTAACAGTTAATAAGATTGGAGAGTCCACATATAGCAAATTAATTGGTGGTGAATAATTTTAGTTTTATAGAAAGGTGGAAGTGGTGTGCTTATTTATGTTGGAAAACATGTGTCAACCATGTGATATATTACTATTATTATTGGCATATATATATAGCAATGTATTCCCCAGCACTTTATAATATTATTAAAGGGACTTTAACAACAAATGAGACCAATGATTACAGATTTTGACAGAAATAATAGGTCAATGAGGACCCTGCTCAGAAGAACTTACAATCTAGAGAAGTTGGGGTATAAAAACACATTAGGAATGACAGTGTGAGGGAATGAAACCTAGTAACCATGTTGGAAAGTAGCAGAATTGGAAGGTGGATGTGAAGTGGAAAATGGACCCAGTAAGTTTAGAGAGTAAAGAGAGAGTTATGACAGGTAGCCTGGAAGCCCATCGGCTCTTCTGAAGAGGCGGGATTTTAGGGACGACTTAAAGGCTTGAAGAGTAGGGGAGAGTCTGATGAAGTCACTGACAGATTGAGTTTTAAAAGTGGAACGGATGTCCAGTCAGAGAAAGAAAGAGAGGAAACTGGAGACTTGTTCTAAGATAGTGGGAAAGAGATCAGGGGAATACAGGTATATCTAGGTGTTATAGGCATACAGATGGTAGTGGAATCCAAAATTATAATGAGTTTTCCAAAAGAGGCTTAATAGAGAGAAAACAGGAGAAGACAAGGACAGAACCTTGGGATACTTTAACTGAGAGAGAATGAGGGGAGGATTAGGCATTACCAGAAAAGGAAAGATGACAAGAAACTAGAGAGGACAGTGTCACAAAAGCCAAGGATGTGAAAAGTTGGGAGAAGGAGAGCATGACCAACAGTGTCATAGTGTCAGGAATAAAGATACCCCAACACGTTAATCTAAAGGAAACAGTAAAGGAACACGTAGCGGTCCTTAGAACGGCCACGCTAGTGACTATTAAAGATGAATGAAAGCAGACAGAGAGTAAATGAGAGAGAAGAGATTGGGGGCACACCCGAGAGATGCATTATGCAAGAAAGGTGCTGCCACAGTGACCAAAATTCATACAGAAAAAACTAGTTACGGCACACTCAGACTTCTAAAAAATCATAACTAAGAAGGCTACTATAAAATGCCTATCTAAGAGAATAAATGTGGGGATTTAGTTCCACCGTATGGCCATATGATGTTAAGCCACTGCTTCAAAGTACCCCAATGTCATTGGTTCCTACGCTAATTACAAAATGTGGGAGACAAATTAAATAGTACTGGTGCTAAAAACAAGCTACAGTGTATTGAATTAATTTCTTTGTAAGAGCAAAGTGAGAATACAAATAAAGAGTGATAAAAGCAATTAAAAACAGTGTAACAACTAAACAATTAAAGTGTTGGTGCTTGAATGAGTATACTCACATTTGCAGATAATATCTGTGCTGCATAAAGAAAATAATAAAAGTGACATGACTATAAAACTCCTCCTACTTATACACACACCTGTGGCCACCTCTAAAGAGGCCTCAGAAGCTGGGGGGCCTGGGCCTATATTTATTCTCTTAGTTAGGCGTTTTATAGTAGCCTTCTTAGTTATGAATTTTTAGAAGTCTGAGTGCGCCATAACTAGTTTTTTCCAGAGAGTAAATGAGAAACAGGCTAGGATAACAGAGATACACAGAATCAATAGTTAAGCCAAAGTCAGGATAACAGAGAACAACAATGATCAAACAAACTGTTGTCAGAAAACAGTAAATCCAATACACAGTATAGAAGCACTCTCAAGTAACAAGAAACACAACCGAGTAAGGAAACAAGGACAACCAGGAAGTATAGATACCCTATACTGGGTTGTGATTGGTTACAGAAGGCCATGATGTTACAAGTGTGTATACATGCAAAGACTGACATTATAAAAGGAGACCAATGGAAGGGTTCCATATCATATTTGATGTCAAAATAAGGCACCTGAAAACTAGGGATGAGTGGGTGTGCATCAGAACACATCCTTCTGCATGGGACAGGTATTGTGACACCGAGGCAGCAAAGAGATGTAGAAGAATTAGTATGAAGTAGTGGCCTTTGGATTTAACTGCAATTATATCATTAGTTACTTTAGTCAGAGCAGTCTCAGTAAAATGTATGGGGTGGATACCAGACTAAAGAGGGTCAAGGAGGGAGTAACAGTTGAAAAAGCATGTAAGATGGTTACAGATAAGTTTTGAGGAGAAAGAGATATGAGATGGTAGTTAGATGGGTAAGATAGGTCAAGTGATGGCTTTTTTAGGAGAGAAACCACAGTGACACGCTTGAGTTGAGCGGGGACAACGCATAGGAATGGAATGGAGAATGGAGATGCATAGCTAACTGTTGTTCAGCAGCCAT